AAAATCGTGCACATTTGTCACATTAAAATTAAATAACCTTATGTTATTTTCATTATTATTAGAATAGTATTTTAAAGGTAATAAATGTAAAAAAAAACTTATTTTATTTATCACTAGCTGTCTAACACTACCCACAGCTTCTCCCGCATTATATCGAATTTTCTCGTGGGAGTAAGATATTTTCTCGCAGTAAAATGTAGCCTATGTCCATCTTCAACATGTAAGTTATCTCTGTGCCAAATTTTATTAAAACCTGTTCAGCGGTTTAGACGTGAAAAGGTGACAGACAGACAGAATTACCTTCAAATTTATAATATTAGTATAGATTAATATGAATTTCTGCTATAAGGGGTATGCGAGTTTGAGCTCTTTCTTGAAGTGGTACACAGGAAAAACTAATTGGGAACCACTGGCTTAGACTAATAACAGTAGTAGTATGTCATTCAACAGTAAAGGCAGGATTGAAGTGCTTATTGATGGTCCTTCACACAACGAGGTAGTGGTCTGTTCCCAAACAGAACTGGAATTCATCACTGCAAATGATATGCTGCTAATTCAAAGCAGTTCATGCTTCTCTGTCACAATATCACTGCAAATGAAATTGATGATGTTAGAGTACTAACTTGGCCATCTTAACAAATTTCAGGTCCCTGAGCTAAAAAAATTTGGGTGTTTTAATTGTATTGGATTGAACAATAATTAAATAAGTCATATAATTAGTTAACTTTCATCATAAAAAAATCCAAACAAATAATTCTACTAAAACCTGATGCATTGTAATACCAAAGCCAACCGCTGCCATATGCTATTGGGCTAAATAATGGCTATAGTATTAATATTAATATTATAGCCTTTATTTAGCCTGATAGCATATGGCAGTGGTTGACTTTAGTAAAAACTCCATACATATAAACCCCTGCCCTTGAATTTTTTTTTGCATTTCTCGATTTTTCAAGATGTCCTAAGTCCAAAAATATAAAAATCTTGGGAGAGTTATTTTTTGACTGATTACCATACTTCCCCTCTGTTGTATATAACAACCAGAAAAGTAAAAAAAAAACTTAACTCTTACTGTTCTTAAGTGGCTTTGAATCAATGGTACTCCTGTGCTATAGACCATTTAGCCCAATGAATAAGAAGGGCCTGGGTACTAATGGCAGGATGTGTAGCAGTTACCATGCATGCAAATTTCTTTTTCTTGGACATCTGTCAATTGTATGGAAAGAGACAGGATTCTATAGCAAGGCTGCCATCTCTGAAGGATTCATCTCAAGGATGCCAAATGACTTGCACATTTGAGTTTGTCTCATAAATAAGTGATGCTGTTTGGTATATGAGAGCTTGCTAATATACCAAATGTATCTACTGCTCCAACATCTCTTCACAGCCAGAACAGTATAGAAGGCAGGTAATGTGATGAAATTGTCATCCTGCTTTCCTCAGTTCAATGATATGGTCTTTCTCAAATTCTTCAGCTATGTGTAATTACTATGCAATACAGATATGACTAACATTTGAAGACCTCCAAGTAACAGATGTGTTGAAAATTCTGAACATATTTAACCTCTGTGAGTTTTTTTTATAGGATACTGGGATAATAATTTTAAGTCACTCTGGTGGCATTACCTGGAGTTCAATCAGACCACAGTTATAATCATTTACATACAGTGTGCACTCCAAATTTAATCTTGGGGGAGCAGTGTTAAACGGATAAAAAAATTTTTGACGCGAATTCAATAAAATTTCTACCTTATGGTGATTGTTAATTCATAAGAAATATATGACACAACATAACATAAATAAAAAATAAATTTTAATTAAGAAAAAGTTTTTGGAATTGTTTTTCTTTTATTTTGGGAGGTGCCTGGGTCCCTTGACCCCTCTCTGGGTGTATCACTGTTTACATATCTGTATGAGCCATAGGTGTATGCTGAGTTTTGCCGTAATCAGACAATTCTATTTAATTGATGAAATACACTCATTGACAAAACAGTTATGCATAACTTGTTTTGTCAATGAGTGTATTTCATCAATTAGTTTGAAAAACTCAATTTATAGAAATTTATAACATATTGAAAACTGTTAAATGATAATTTTCAAGCAGACTCCAACATTCATGTTTGTTAGAAATACTATACAGTACATGTAGATGACCAGGCATGAATTAATCTAATAATCAAACAATTAACTATTGAACTAGAATTTGGCTAATTAATTTTATTGATACTAAGTAATTTGGACTAAAGGTCAAGCTGTCATCTTGTATAAAATTTAATAATTATATATTAATTTTGAATTAAATAATTTAGGTCTTCTGGATGAAAATGGCAACTTAACTACTAATGTTTAGTCCAAATTATATAGTATCTATAAAATTAATTAGCTAATTTCTAGTTTGATAGTTAATTTGCCCTTATTATTTAATCACATTTGTTAGAAAAACTAATTTTTGAAAAATTAAAAAAGTATTAAACTTAGATAACACAAAATTATGTAAATGGCTGAATTTCTTGGACTTCAATATTTTAAATGAATTAATATAATTTGGGTCCAGAATAAGTGATCTTTCTGTTTCATATGAAATTTACTAATTGAATTATTAATTACTTATTTTCAATTATATATTTATCTTGTTAGATATTTTGTCAATATTGTGTTTTTACATTTTTTAAACAAGTTTTACATATTGAGAGAACAGCCTCAAAATTAAGATAAACTCTGTTGTGTGACTAAAAAAAATATAAAACTACCAATTGAAAAATTAGCAATAATGCCAAAGATACCAATAGCAAAATTATTTACCTAACTTACTTGTTAGATTGTTTCAAACAGAAATAAACATAAAAATAATAATTATATTGAAGTAATTTGAATGCAATGTTTCCAATAAAATTCTAACAACACCTTTTTAATATAAAAAATTTGCTTCTGCAATATGTAATACTTTATTACCTGTTAGAAAAATATTTTAGTTTTACTTTTTGTATTTCTAAATATAATTTCTGATACGCTTAAATCAGAGAAATGGTAGAAAATAATTGTTATTACTTCATTTGTGTAATTAAAACTTTTTATATTATTGCCATGAAAATTTATCAAACATATAGTAAAATGTGTTCAATAGAAAATATATACATAATCTATATTTAAAAGGCATTTTTTGTGAAAATGTCTGTTTTCTTTATGAAGGGAAAAATCTTAATGAAATTGGTACAATAAAATATTATACATATGAAATATATATAATTTTTACTATATATCAATATAAAAGAAGTTTGCATAGAACTTTTTATTGGAAGTTGAGCATTTTTTTAAATGAGTTTATTATGAAAATATTGTTAAAATTTACCTTAATATTGAAATAATTTTTAAGATATAAATATTGTAAATTGGTTATATAATTGATTTTATTATAACTTTTTATTTTAGGGCGTGTTGTTGTAAAAACAATAGGTGGTGGTCGTAAATTAGAATTCCGATGGGTAATTTATGATCGATCAGGACCTAAAGAAGGTCCACCATTAGAGGAAAAAGTATTTTTAATAAGAGAAGATTACTGCAGGACATCAAATATTGCATTAGTGGGTTCAGGTGATAAAATGAGATGGATACTTGCTCATGCAACTATGAAAGTGGGTGATATAATAAGGTCTTCTAGCTATATACCACGTATTCCTGGTATGTATTAAATTAAACATGATAAAATATTAATTTTTATGGTAATATCTTTGTAGATTTATAAACATATTACATTTGTGTTGGGAAATGCATTAAGAATGCATTTATTTATTTATTCTCTTTTATTTGAAAATTTATTTGTGAACATTAAATTTTGAAGTCTTTTGTAATAGAAAATATAGAAAAATATACATTTAAATCTGATTTTATTTGTTAAGCATATACCAACTCAGATGTGATGATGAAATTATATTAAAATTTTATATATATACTGTAAAATAGTTTCCATACTCAATACAATGCACTCTTGCTAATTCAAATCTACATTAATCTGAAATCTGTTTAATTTGAGCCAATTTTGTTTGTTTGTATGTTTCAATTTAAAAAGAGATCATAGATTATTTTTTTAAAACATGATTGATTTATAAAATTAATGTATGCTGTACATTTTAACATGAATACATACACTAAATAGAATATAAAAAGTTTTAAATATATGTGTTTATCTGTAATCCTTTCTACTTCCTTTTCTTTACAAGAGGTGTTTTTGTTTTTGAAAGTGTACAAATCTAATTTTTCTTGTTTTGAGATTGATATTTTAGATTTTTTTATTTCAACCAGCTTAAAACATTGTTAAATGTTAATATGCTTATTTTATATTTTTAAGATATTAGACATAAGCAATTTTATTATGTAAATATTTTTTTATGACACAATTAAAAATAATGCTTTTGTTNGGTTGAAAACGTTTGCTAAGGTGTAAACACATACCACTGGAGCTGTAAAGGTTGAGGTGCTGAATTATAACTCCTCTAGTGTTGGAAGAAGTTTATTTCTTATGTATCAGTACACTGCCTATTCTACATGCTTTGCATGTAGACGTGCACTTTGGTACTTACTGTCACTTTGCACCTTAGTGCCTGGGTGGGGACAAGCCCCCACATCCCCTGAAACCATATAACAATAAGTACTCTACAAACAGTGAAGTGGGCTAAATAGTTAAACACGATAGTCTTAGTGACAACAGTATTGCATATTGGATTAAAGTTACAACTGTCATACCATTAACAGAAAAGAACTCAAAATACATTGAATAAGTTAACATCAGTTTTGATCTTTTGTTTCATAGATTGTTGTTTATTGCTTCCTTTTGCATTGTTACTTGTGTGAATGTTGTTTCACTTATTATGTATGAACAAGCAGTTATTTATTGTGACATTATCACAATGCTTGGCTGCAATTTTTAATTTATTTAATTTAAAATATATGCTCTCTACATTAGTACTATAGTGTCTTGTCCCTATACATCATACTTTTCCTTTATAATAGAGTTGTGCTGGTCTTCTATTAACTGCATTCAGGAGAAAGTTTTGAATTGAAATTATCTGACTTTTAGTTTGCATTGGAAGTTCATATATAGTTAATTGGGACTTCCTGCTCCTAGGTTTCCATATCTGGTCTCACCTTTCATCTATCTAACTCTCTTCTCGAGATTACGGAAAGACAGATGGAAGGATGACAGTGAGAATTTATAGGTCTACAATTTTTTCAAATTGCTACTCAATCAGATTTGATCCAAAAGATTCATGTGTTTATTCAAATAATGTATGCACTAATACAGTCTCGTAATGTTGAGTTGTACTATATTCTCACTTGTTTTAGTGTTTAACATTTACTCACATTGAATCAACTATATCAGTATATACTCCAGTTCTTCATCCATAAAATACTTTGAATTGCCAACAATAAAATATATATACTTAATTGAAGTTCAGACTATTTACAAAAATATCAAATTTTCGAGTCTATCTTAATCCTTTTTATACAACGCCAGAAATAACAGTTAACATGGTTTTTTGAAGAATATACTTCTTAAAACAAAGGTAAACAATAAGTAAAAAAAGTTCACAATGTTAAAAACAATCAAGTGTCAGCCTTCTGTTATAGGTTTTGACACTTTACATTAAAAACACAAAGAATTCTTCTCACCACATTGTCCTTATCCATACTTCTGGGGTTGTATAAAAAAGATTAAGATAGACTTGAAATTTGATATTTTTGTAAATAGTCTGAACTTCAATTAAGAAGAAATATATCCTGAGTAATTACAGAAATTGTATCCATATGCAAATTAAGTAAGGATAACTTGTAACTACCACCAGAGGGCCTGAAGCAGTTAAAAAATGGATAAGGACAATGTGGTGAGAAGAATTCTTCATGTTTTTAATGTAAAGTGTCAAAACCTATAACAGAAGGCTGACATTTGATCATTTTTAACATTGTGAACTTTTTTTACTTATTGTTTACCTTTGTTTTAAGAAGTATATTCTTCAAAAAAACCATGTTAACTGTTACTTCTGGGGTTGTATAAAAAAGATTAAGATAGACTCGAAAATTTGATATTTTTGTAAATAGTCTGAACTTCAATAAGAAGAAATATATCCTGAGTAATTACAGAAAAAATATATATAGTTTTCACTTGGAATTTTGAGTATTGCATTATAATTATTCCATAAATCTGATATTATGGTGGTTTCAAACAGAATATATTCCAAAATCTTTTCTATAAAGTAGGGAAAAGTTGCCAAAATTAAAGAAAATTGGATTATGAGGAAATTTTGTATGCTTATTGGGCTGCAGTTTTTGAATTGCAGGCCTATAGATTTCTATTGTCATCCAACTATCTTTCCTTAATCTTGAGAATAGAGTTAGATTGATGAAAATTGAGACCAGATAGAAAACTTAGGGAGAGGCTGTCTCCATTACATTGTCACACTTTATTGGGCAGGCCAATGAGGTGTGGCAATGTAATGGAGACATTCCTGGTTAATCCTACCTGTATGCAACTGAACTTTATCTTGCTAGAAAATGAGTATTTGCAGCTCTTTTGTGGCAGGTTGCAAGGGTAACATGTGAAGACACTGAATTTCTTGAATGTACTGGTTTACTGCAGATGTCCTTATACAACTACTATGGGTGACTGTCATATGAGATAGCTTTGATAACTTAGACCAATGGTTCCCAATTAGTGGTACCTCTTCATGCAATTTCGCATACCCCAGGGGTACGCGAAATTGCATGAAGAGGTACATGCGGCAATCTAAAATCGGTCAATTTAAAATTTAAATGCATGAGATGAAGCAATCAAAAAATAATGGGTGGACCATCAATAATTTGGCAATTTACAACATGATGTCAAATGCACAAATTTGTTTATTTATAACTAAAAATATTCTCAAAATTTCATCAAAAAACTGCATTTGCGACAATACCTAAATGAAATTCTTACACAAGAAACAAAAATTGTACAATTAACACAATTTGTTTTCACAAAATTAATTTTTAAAATTTTTGTCGCTGTTGCAAATAACTCTATCTTCCCATCTCTGACCAAGAGGAATTAAACTGATAGACATTTCATGCAACAGCAGACTTAAGAGTTGTTTTGCAGAGCAATCAATTTTTGGGCTGACCTAAAAGACATTTTTCATGTCAGTGAAGCAGAAATAAAATATTTACTACCATTTTGCACAACATACCTCTGCGAGAGCAGATTTTCGGCTATGACAAACATGAAAACTAAACATTGTCATCGACTTTGACTCGAAGATGACTCGAGACTGAAGCTGACCAAAAAGCAACCAGATTTTACAAAGTTGTGCAAAGAAAATCGTGCACATTTGTCATATTAAAATTAAATAACCTTATGTTATTCATTATTATTAGAATAGTATTTTAAAGGTAATAAATGTAAAAAAAAACTTATTTTATTTATCACTAGCTGTCTAACACTACCCACAGCTTCTCCTGCATTATATCGAATTTTCTCGTGGGAGTAAGATATTTTCTCGCAGTAAAATGTAGCCTATGTCCATCTTCAACATGTAAGTTATCTCTGTGCCAAATTTTATTAAAACCTGTTCAGCGGTTTAGACGTGAAAAGGTGACAGACAGACAGAATTACCTTCAAATTTATAATATTAGTATAGATTAATATGAATTTCTGCTATAAGGGGTATGCGAGTTTGAGCTCTTTCTTGAAGTGGTACACAGGAAAAACTAATTGGGAACCACTGGCTTAGACTAATAACAGTAGTAGTATGTCATTCAACAGTAAAGGCAGGATTGAAGTGCTTATTGATGGTCCTTCACACAACGAGGTAGTGGTCTGTTCCCAAACAGAACTGGAATTCATCACTGCAAATGATATGCTGCTAATTCAAAGCAGTTCATGCTTCTCTGTCACAATATCACTGCAAATGAAATTGATGATGTTAGAGTACTAACTGGGCCATCTTAACAAATTTCAGGTCCCTGAGCTAAAAAAATTTGGGTGTTTTAATTGTATTGGATTGAACAATAATTAAATAAGTCATATAATTAGTTAACTTTCATCGTAAAAAAATCCAAACAAATAATTCTACTAAAACCTGATGCATTGTAATACCAAAGCCAACCGCTGCCATATGCTATTGGGCTAAATAATGGCTATAGTATTAATATTAATATTATAGCCTTTATTTAGCCTGATAGCATATGGCAGTGGTTGACTTTAGTAAAAACTCCATACATATAAACCCCTGCCCTTGAATTTTTTTTTGCATTTCTCGATTTTTCAAGATGTCCTAAGTCCAAAAATATAAAAATCTTGGGAGAGTTATTTTTTGACTGATTACCATACTTCCCCTCTGTTGTATATAACAACCAGAAAAGTAAAAAAAAAACTTAACTCTTACTGTTCTTAAGTGCCTTTGAATCAATGGTACTCCTGTGCTATAGCCCATTTAGCCCAATGAATAAGAAGGGCCTGGGTACTAATGGCAAGATGTGTAGCAGTTACCATGCATGCAAATTTCTTTTTCTTGGACATCTGTCAATTGTATGGAAAGAGACAGGATTCTATAGCAAGGCTGCCATCTCTGAAGGATTCATCTCAAGGATGCCAAATGACTTGCACATTTGAGTTTGTCTCATAAATAAGTGATGCTGTTTGGTATATGAGAGCTTGCTAATATACCAAATGTATCTACTGCTCCAACATCTCTTCACAGCCAGAACAGTATAGAAGGCAGGTAATGTGATGAAATTGTCATCCTGCTTTCCTCAGTTCAATGATATGGTCTTTCTCAAATTCTTCAGCTATGTGTAATTACTATGCAATACAGATATGACTAACATTTGAAGACCTCCAAGTAACAGATGTGTTGAAAATTCTGAACATATTTAACCTCTGTGAGTTTTTTTTATAGGATACTGGGATAATAATTTTAAGTCACTCTGGTGGCATTACCTGGAGTTCAATCAGACCACAGTTATAATCATTTACATACAGTGTGCACTCCAAATTTAATCTTGGGGGAGCAGTGTTAAACGGATAAAAAAATTTTTGACGCGAATTCAATAAAATTTCTACCTTATGGTGATTGTTAATTCATAAGAAATATATGACACAACATAACATAAATAAAAAATAAATTTTAATTAAGAAAAAGTTTTTGGAATTGTTTTTCTTTTATTTTGGGAGGTGCCTGGGTCCCTTGACCCCTCTCTGGGTGTATCACTGTTTACATATCTGTATGAGCCATAGGTGTATGCTGAGTTTTGCCGTAATCAGACAATTCTATTTAATTGATGAAATACACTCATTGACAAAACAGTTATGCATAACTTGTTTTGTCAATGAGTGTATTTCATCAATTAGTTTGAAAAACTCAATTTATAGAAATTTATAACATATTGAAAACTGTTAAATGATAATTTTCAAGCAGACTCCAACATTCATGTTTGTTAGAAATACTATACAGTACATGTAGATGACCAGGCATGAATTAATCTAATAATCAAACAATTAACTATTGAACTAGAATTTGGCTAATTAATTTTATTGATACTAAGTAATTTGGACTAAAGGTCAAGCTGTCATCTTGTATAAAATTTAATAATTATATATTAATTTTGAATTAAATAATTTAGGTCTTCTGGATGAAAATGGCAACTTAACTACTAATGTTTAGTCCAAATTATATAGTATCTATAAAATTAATTAGCTAATTTCTAGTTTGATAGTTAATTTGCCCTTATTATTTAATCACATTTGTTAGAAAAACTAATTTTTGAAAAATTAAAAAAGTATTAAACTTAGATAACACAAAATTATGTAAATGGCTGAATTTCTTGGACTTCAATATTTTAAATGAATTAATATAATTTGGGTCCAGAATAAGTGATCTTTCTGTTTCATATGAAATTTACTAATTGAATTATTAATTACTTATTTTTAATTATATATTTATCTTGTTAGATATTTTGTCAATATTGTGTTTTTACATTTTTTAAACAAGTTTTACATATTGAGAGAACAGCCTCAAAATTAAGATAAACTCTGTTGTGTGACTAAAAAAAATATAAAACTACCAATTGAAAAATTAGCAATAATGCCAAAGATACCAATAGCAAAATTATTTACCTAACTTACTTGTTAGATTGTTTCAAACAGAAATAAACATAAAAATAATAATTATATTGAAGTAATTTGAATGCAATGTTTCCAATAAAATTCTAACAACACCTTTTTAATATAAAAAATTTGCTTCTGCAATATGTAATACTTTATTACCTGTTAGAAAAATATTTTAGTTTTACTTTTTGTATTTCTAAATATAATTTCTGATACGCTTAAATCAGAGAAATGGTAGAAAATAATTGTTATTACTTCATTTGTGTAATTAAAACTTTTTATATTATTGCCATGAAAATTTATCAAACATATAGTAAAATGTGTTCAATAGAAAATATATACATAATCTATATTTAAAAGGCATTTTTTGTGAAAATGTCTGTTTTCTTTATGAAGGGAAAAATCTTAATGAAATTGGTACAATAAAATATTATACATATGAAATATATATAATTTTTACTATATATCAATATAAAAGAAGTTTGCATAGAACTTTTTATTGGAAGTTGAGCATTTTTTTAAATGAGTTTATTATGAAAATATTGTTAAAATTTACCTTAATATTGAAATAATTTTTAAGATATAAATATTGTAAATTGGTTATATAATTGATTTTATTATAACTTTTTATTTTAGGGCGTGTTGTTGTAAAAACAATAGGTGGTGGTCGTAAATTAGAATTCCGATGGGTAATTTATGATCGATCAGGACCTAAAGAAGGTCCACCATTAGAGGAAAAAGTATTTTTAATAAGAGAAGATTACTGCAGGACATCAAATATTGCATTAGTGGGTTCAGGTGATAAAATGAGATGGATACTTGCTCATGCAACTATGAAAGTGGGTGATATAATAAGGTCTTCTAGCTATATACCACGTATTCCTGGTATGTATTAAATTAAACATGATAAAATATTAATTTTTATGGTAATATCTTTGTAGATTTATAAACATATTACATTTGTGTTGGGAAATGCATTAAGAATGCATTTATTTATTTATTCTCTTTTATTTGAAAATTTATTTGTGAACATTAAATTTTGAAGTCTTTTGTAATAGAAAATATACATTTAAATCTGATTTTATTTGTTAAGCATATACCAACTCAGATGTGATGATGAAATTATATTAAAATTTTATATATATACTGTAAAATAGTTTCCATACTCAATACAATGCACTCTTGCTAATTCAAATCTACATTAATCTGAAATCTGTTTAATTTGAGCCAATTTTGTTTGTTTGTATGTTTCAATTTAAAAAGAGATCATAGATTATTTTTTTAAAACATGATTGATTTATAAAATTAATGTATGCTGTACATTTTAACATGAATACATACACTAAATAGAATATAAAAAGTTTTAAATATATGTGTTTATCTGTAATCCTTTCTACTTCCTTTTCTTTACAAGAGGTGTTTTTGTTTTTGAAAGTGTACAAATCTAATTTTTCTTGTTTTGAGATTGATATTTTAGATTTTTTTATTTCAACCAGCTTAAAACATTGTTAAATGTTAATATGCTTATTTTATATTTTTAAGATATTAGACATAAGCAATTTTATTATGTAAATATTTTTTTATGACACAATTAAAAATAATGCTTTTGTTGAGTACAAATGGACTTATCCCACTTCTAAAATAAATTGTCAAAAACATAACTTGTACCCAATTTTGTGTTTGGATTTCAATTAAAAAGATGCAATTAATAAAATGCATATATATATATATATAATAGAAACATTCGTTGCCATGAAATATATATAATTTAATTATATATATTTCTCTGCAACAAATGTTTCTATGAGTTTATTTGCTGAGCACTTTTAATAATATCCAGTCCTTCAAATGAGTCATAATTCGCTTCTTTATTATTTTTGTACATACCAGAACAACACTGTTAATCTCCATTAAAAATTCACCAGTACCTCTGCCGGCCTATTCTCACCCCCTTATTTATTTTATAGAAGTTATTGAAAAATACCTACAGTTTTAATTATGATTATATTTTCACAATAATTAAATATTATACAAATAATTTATTTTCAAAGTTGTTTTAAATTTTTTTTATAAACATTGTGATAAATAATCTAAGAAAATTAGTTAAAAATCTGAACTTAGAAGAGTATTATTTATTTATAAATAATGAAATATATTATTTTATTACTTTTATAACAATAAATTTAAGTAATAATTTAGTTGAAAAATTTATTAAATTTAATTAAAGATAATAATAAGATTTAAAAAATTAGAATATGAAAAATAATAATAATATTTTCTTTTGTATATTGTTTTTTAAGTTTTGTTATTTAAGTTATTTAAAAGTAATAAAAAAAATTGTATTATTTGAAGTGCGTGCAAGAGATGGAGATTCACATCCATTGGGGGCTTTGCCAGTTGGAACTTGTGTTCATAATATTGAGAAGTATCCTGAAATGGGTGGAGATTATTGTAGAGCAGCTGGATCATCTGCACAGATAATTAGGAAAATAGATGACCGGGTGATAATTCAGTTACCTTCAAAAGAACAATTATCACTTAAACAAGAATGTATAGCTGTTGTAGGTCAAGTCTCTAATCCAAACCATGGAAAGCAACATATTGGCAGTCCTCAGCGGTTGCGATGGTTAGGCAAAAGACAAAGGTCTGGTCAGTGGCATCGTAAAGATGGATATTGTGGAAGAAAAATACATCCACCCAAACCTCTTAAAATTATTGGTTCATCACCACCAGCAAAGAATATCGAACCTTACCAATTGACTTTATAAAATCTGAATAAATTATTACTATTATTTGTAATTAGACTACTATGTTCTTTTAAGCTTATAAATATTACATATTTGATATATTAATACAGTTAATCAATTACATACTACTATTGATTTATGATTAATAAAAATTTTAAAATAAATTTTTAACTCATTTAAATTTACTGAATTATTGTTCCTTGTTTATCAGATTGCAGATTCAAATCTCACTTCAGATACACAGGGTGAAACAAAAGTCTCTAACAAAGAGAATTCACTCTCTGTTCACAAAACATGCTCTAAACAGATGGAGAGCATATCCTTGTGTCCCATATGGTGTATCTATAAGGGACACAATGCATCTCTCCTGTTTGTGATGAATTCATATTGGCATTTTTTATGTTATGCATGTGTGTTCATCTCAAATGTATGCATAACATTTAGCTGGTCCCTGTTTTGTATCTTCATTTTGCATATACTGTAATGGCAATTGAATAGTTCCTCCATATATAAAAAGTAGGTGGACAGAAGTCTGAGACCATAAAGGAAAAATAAAATAATTTTCCATGTGTGGTGACTTCTTGAGTCATCCTGTAGACATTTGTATTACAGGAAATCCTCGTTAATTTGAACTCTAATAGTTCGAAATAGTTCAAAATAAATTTGAAATTAGTTAGTTTCTAACTGTACTTTTGTCCTGGCCAGGGATATAGAGGTTTCATGTTAAAGAATTTGGTTTGTTTGAAATATGGCTAATTCAAAATTTGAAGTGAAAATTCTGTCCGAGCTGTGATATGCGTATTTTAACTCATTCGCTTAGATCAAAGTGCCTCCATGCCATAAGAGAACAGTAGACCAAGAACAACTCTAATCTGGTCAACATGGCTCTGCTTTTACAGTAATGCATTTTCATGTTAGCTATGACTCACCTTAATCATTGACTACTTTTTCTATTATCTCTTAAAATTCAACTGGCTTTCAGGTTGCAAGATTGGGCTACAAGTAGCAGATTGAGATATTTGTAGGCTCTCGGCTACTAAATTTGGGCAACTTATTACATTTTAGGCTACATTTTGAGGAACTCTGCTTTACTTTTTATAAAATCTATTTTGCAACCTTTCAGAATGGACATGTGCTGTTTACCTGCAGTTTACAGTTTATTCATATTATTATTATTTATTAATGAAAATAGCATTCTGTATATGCAGTCGTATTCTGTTTCCTTAATAAATTACAACATGTATGTGGCATTTGACATATTGTATAGAAATATGTAAGTCTCCCATAATTTGAAACTTGATAATTTGAAGATGCGATTATTTCATTCCTTGAATTTTGAACTAACAATGATTTCCTGTATTAGTTTTTAAAATGCTTTTAACCTTGCATCCAAATTGTATACAGTACTGTATTTATGAATTAATTTATTTTAAATTTAAATTTCACCTACAGTAAGCATTAAATATTTCATATGTTTAAAATAAAAATACAAGGTTATATATTTAGAATTTTGTAGTTTGTATAACTTAAAGTATACTATATATTTTTAATAAATTAAAAATTGTTAAAAATTTCATTACAAATAGTCTATATTCAAGTCAGATTATTCAGGATGAAAAGAGTACATTTTTATATTCCATTGTTTAGATCATTATATAATTTAAACAGTGGAATATAAAATATCATAACTATTTTAAATGATTGCTATAATTGTGATGCCAAAAATTAAATTATGATTTAAGTGTAGATCTTAACAATTATGGAATACGATATTTCTAGGCCTATATCAAAAGCAGATTTTGGCAATGATGCAATAAGCTGAAACAAATACTGTATATCATCGTCATCACGAGTTAACAATTTTGAATTAATTCACGAGCCACGAATGTATAGACTGACTCATCTTGAAAAATCATTTTTAAATTCAAAACGGGAGTAAACTTAGCGCTATAAGTACTTTTACTTAGAATTGCGCGATTCGCATTTGAAAATTTAATGTATTACAGCATCATCTATGAATCAACAAAAACTTTCATAATTATAATGAGAAAGTAGTTGAATGTAAACATACTAAATATTAAAAATAATTTTTGTATAATTTTGTTTATTTTAAACTGTTTTACCGACCGGCGGCCTTGATTTAAAACTAGGTAGCCCCATAGTTCAATGCTAACTCGCTTATTATTAAAATTTTTAAAAAGCAGGCGAATTTATAAAAAAAATTAATGAAATTACTAAAAAAATTAAATATGATTATCTTTTGTGTGAAACAATACTAAAACAATTTCTATAGTTATGTGGCAGAAGAAAAAAAAAGTTTAAATTAATTTAAAAAATTGTAATTAAGGGTTCAAAAAATGCAGGCAAAATTAATGCAACATTAATAAATGCTTTCATAAATATTTTTTCTAAATAATTCCATTATCTAATTGGTTATTGCTTGAAGATCCTACGCACAAAGATCTCTAATATATCCATTCTTTGAAATAAAATTTATACCGATTCACTTAAAGAATGTTAATCAAATCTCATGAAAATCGCACATAAAAATGTTTCAGCTAAAGAATTTAAATGACTGAAGAATTATTTTACTTGTAAATTCATTAAAAAACTGAAATTCTATGAAAGGTGTTCGAATAAGAGGTGCCTTTAGAAAAAAAGCAACCTCTCCTATCCTATTACACGATCTTAAAGGAAAGGATACGCTAAATTTAGTTGTATTATACACGGTGTGCACAAATTATCGGATAGTTACGTGAGATTATATTTCCAGTAATATTGAACAGAAATACGGGATAATACCACCATTTGAAAGAGGGTTATTTGCAGTTTTTTACTGATCTCAAATGCATTTACACCCTACGTGAAATCCGACATATGTTTTACGGTATTCCCATTCTAGCCAAACCTTAACGTGTCTTGTGTCACGATTCTGATGGCGGNAACATAAATAAAAAATAAATTTTAATTAAGAAAAAGTTTTTGGAATTGTTTTTCTTTTATTTTGGGAGGTGCCTGGGTCCCTTGACCCCTCTCTGGGTGTATCACTGTTTACATATCTGTATGAGCCATAGGTGTATGCTGAGTTTTGCCGTAATCAGACAATTCTATTTAATTGATGAAATACACTCATTGACAAAACAGTTATGCATAACTTGTTTTGTCAATGAGTGTATTTCATCAATTAGTTTGAAAAACTCAATTTATAGAAATTTATAACATATTGAAAACTGTTAAATGATAATTTTCAAGCAGACTCCAACATTCATGTTTGTTAGAAATACTATACAGTACATGTAGATGACCAGGCATGAATTAATCTAATAATCAAACAATTAACTATTGAACTAGAATTTGGCTAATTAATTTTATTGATACTAAGTAATTTGGACTAAAGGTCAAGCTGTCATCTTGTATAAAATTTAATAATTATATATTCGAGAATGAAT